GCAAAACACAGGTAGAGAAGAGATTGGTTTCAGTTTCAATTCAGAGAGCAGACTAGATTAGTTCTCTTGCACAGACTCAGAGTTACATAGGTAAGCCACGCCCAGGCTCCGAGCAGTATGGCATGGCTCTCTGTCACCAAATAGTTCCCACTGGCATATCCAGTTTCCATGACTACACACTGGCTGACCTTGTTACCATGTCCTATTCCAGCCAGTTCCCAATCGCTAACCTGTTGCTATGTCCTATTCCAGTTTATGAATATTCTGACAACTTTGGTTTTAAAAATAACTCCAGATAAAAAAGATATTGCTGGTCCATAGGAAACAGAGATGGAGGCTTAGCCAATTAGGAGAATGTAGTCTCCTAAAAGAGGAGACTCACTATATGGGACTTTTTTAATGTCTACATACCTGTCATGGAAATGTAGACGGTGGTAATGGGAAAACCTTTGCAGAATTATGACTCCTGGGCAAGACATATCTTTTATTTTATTTTTATTTCAAACCACCCTGATTTCAAGTATCTCTGATGAAGTTCATAAATAGTAAAATAAAATCCAGTTTAACTAATCTGTTCAATTAATATTTCCCTATCAATATTCCAATATAATTGTATCTTAAAGTGGCTTAAATGTTGATGTCTGTGTATAGACACATAGAATGATAAAAAAATAGTATTAAACTACTATTGAAGTAGCATTATAAACCTTCAATTAAAAAAAACCGAGAGAGGAAAATAATAATCAAATGGAATACTCAATATTCAAACTAGAAAGGCCTAAAAGATGCAATATTGTATTATTAATATTAGAGTGGGGAAATCCTTGGATCACCACAGACAAGTCCTGTCTATAAGTAACGATTCTGAAACATTTGTCACACGGAGCCGAAAGCTTCTTGAATTGGATGGATGTGGCAACAATTATCCACATCTTGACTGTACTCCATTTTAACTAATGCAATGCATTCTATGTGGGGCTCTCATTAAAAAGTGTTAAGGATCAAAATGAAGTAGTTAGACTACAACCTGGTGCAGGTTTCAGAAACATTCAGATGCCTTTCTTGAAAGATGCAGTTTCCAGTTATTTACTAGGGCCGTTAGAAGTGCTGTGTGGTCTAGTTCAGGAGTGTCAAATCCACGTTTCCATGTAGTCACGTGACATATCACAACTGCAGTTGGTTGAGAATGCAGCCACGCGAGCGATATCAGGTGTACCTCAGTACACCCGTGTTACACCTATCCTCCGCNGCAATCCATTACATTTCGGTTCTGGCCCAGCAGGAGCCGTTGGAGCTGCCACCAGACTCCGACAGCGAGGGGCCCTATGAGTTAGCTCTGGAGGATGTGGAGGACCCTGGACAGGGTTCCGACTCGGAGCAGGGCGCAGAGAGGCTGGTTGGCCACCAGGAGGCGCCTGAGCCTTGGACCAGTGGGGAGGAGACAAGGGAGAGTGAGCCAGAGGTACATACATCATACATACATACATACATACATACATACATACATACATACATACATACATACATACATACATTAATATACATACATACATACATACATACAAACATACATACAAACATACATACATACATACATACATACATACTAATTTCACCATTCTTGCATATTCTCCAACTTTAAGTTCCCAATCAGAAATCATCAATAAACCCTTTTTAACCAATGGCGCGTAAAGTTTCCTCTTGCATCCATGAGCTTAATAAATTATGGTACTTTTCTTATTCTGTTTTGTGATTATTCCTACGAAAAGAATTGCAGTTTCATTTCAGACTTCTAAAGAGAGGTTTCACTTGTAAGATGATCTGGAATGTCAGGAAAACCGTGCCTCATTTAGCTTCGACAGCTTTCGCAAACCAAGTCTATTCGCCGGGGTGATATTTTCAAAGTTTTATAGCTCATACTATTCTAACTCTCCAAAATAACAGCAAAGTGAAAGACTCCAGTTTGGAGAAAAAGGCCTGGAAATGCCAGGGTTATAACACTATAAAGACACATTCTGAGAGATAACAGCACTAAACCCTTCCTGTATTGTTGTTAAGAAAACTATTTGGATATATCCATATTGTCAGCAGCAGCTAAGCTCTGCTGACAGAGAACTTTACCCTTTGCTGTACTCTAAATGTTTAACTATCTTTAAGAATCATTGTTTGTAATACTATCACGCAAAGAAGTTTCTGCAGTATTTTAATTTAGAAATCTGTAGAGAAGGAAAGAACTACTTAAACTCTAAAATGGTTAGACCTCAGAACTATAAAACTATATGTATACATATTTTCTACATATAAATTCAAATCAGCAGTGGGATTAACTTACCGTCTGGACCAGTTTGCAAAAGGAGTGTGCACAGGGCAGGTGGGTGGAGCCTCCCGCAGCCACCAATACTAGTGTGGGAAGTTATCAGAGCCGAGGTGGCGCAGTGGTTAAATGCAGCACTGCAGGCTACTGCTAGATCAGCAGGTCAGCGGTTCAAATCTCACCGGCTCAGGGTTG